ATGCTGAAAACTCTGGGGTCTAATTCCCAAGCTGCCCCCCCTCCCCCTGCCAACAGAGAGCACCAGAACTGAGAAAGGTGCCCATATAACACCTGGCTGTGGAAAGCATCAGGGTTACTGTCTGCCAGGGAGAGATGGCTGGAAAAGCAGGCACCCTCTTAAAGGGCCACACACAAAATTTCGTGTGCAGCCACTCACCTTGGGCTCCAGCAGAGGGAGGGCAGAGTGGACTAGAGCTGTGTGAGCAGAAGCCAGGGTAGGGGGCTTTGGGATTAGACCTAGGAAGGCAGACACCCTGGTTTCCTGTGCTGAGTCATTCCCTCATGCTGAGGAGGACATCTTTATCTGGCGAACCTTTGCTATCCAGGTGGTTTTTACCCTGAAGAAGGCAGTTGCCCCACCCCCTTGTCCCACCCTATAGAGCAGCGGTACTCAACCTGTGGGTCACAACCATCAGAAAACACATATAGCATATCAGATAGTTACATTACAATTCATAACAGTAGCAAAATTACAGTTATGAAGTAGCAACAAAAATAATTTTATGGTTGGGGGTCACCACAACATGAGGAACTGTATTAAAGGGTCGCGGCATTAGGAAGGTTGAGAACCACTGCTATAGAGTTTCTGAGGTTAATTAAGAGATTGAGAATAATAATCAGCCTACAGGCAGAAGCAATTGCCCAATCCTGGTGGAAAACCTCTCGCCCCACCCTGTGGTTGATAGCCTAAGGATAATCAGACTACAGGCAGAAGCAGGTCTCTGGAGATTTCTCCCATGCCAGATCCAATTCAGAGCCAGGGGCTAGGAAAAACAGACCTTGGTGCACATCTTGGTCCTTTCCAAAGGCACCCAGCATGAGCAGAGGGAGCCACAAGCTATGGATTGCTGATAGTCCGAAACAGAGGACTCAGGCCAGTCAGAAACAGAGTCTGACACTGTCCTGCACTAGAGATTGGGAGGCAAAGCAGATCTACCTAATACACAGTCACAAACTCAAACGTGTAGCCAAAATGGGAAGGCAAAAAAAAAAAAAAAAAAGCCCCAAAGAAAAGAACAAGAGAATTCTCCAGAAGAAGAGCTAAATGAAATGGAGATACGAAATTTATTAGATATAGGCCGAAACCGGTTTGGCTCAGTGGATAGAGTGTCAGCCTGCGGACTGAAAGGTCCCAGGTTCGATTCTGGTCAAGGGCATGTACCTGGGTTGCGGGCACATCCCCAGTAGATGTGCAAGAGGCAGCTGATTGATGTTTCTCTCTCATCGATGTTTTTAACTCTCTATCTCTCTCCCTTCCTCTCTGTAAAAAATCAATAAAATATATTTTAAAAAAAGAAATTTATTAGATATAGAGTTCAAAATAATGATGGAAAAGGTGTTCAACAGTGTGAGAGGATATAGTATCTATGATGAATGACATAGTACTAATCAAGAACACAGTGGAAGAAATACACAGCAGATTAGGGGAAGCCAAGGATCAGATCAATGAATTACAAGACAGGGTAGAGCCCAGCTGGCATGGCTCAGTGGTTGAGCATTGAACTATGAACCAGGAGGTCACGGTTCAATTCCTGGTCAGGATACATACCTGGGTTGTGGGCTAGCGGCAACCAATCAATGATTCTCTCTCATCATTGATGTTTCTATCGCTCTCTCTTCTTCTCTCTGAAATCAATATACATGAAAACAGGGTAGAAAAAAATCACTCAATCAGAGAACCAAAAAGAAAAAAAAACAATTAAAAAACAGGAGAGCTTAAGGGCGCTGTGGGACAACATGAAACATAACAATATTCACATAATAAGAGTGCCAAAAGGAGAAGAAAGTGACAAGTGATAGAGGACATGTTTGAAGAAATAATGGCAGAAAACTTCCCTAACCTGGTGAAGGAAAAAGTCACACAAGTTCAGGAGGCACAGAGAGTCCCAAGCAAGAAGAACCCAAACAGGCCCATGGCCAGGCACATCGTAATTAAAATGCCGAAAATTAAAGGCAGCAAGAGAAAAGCAATTTGATACCTACAAAGGAGTTCCCATAAGGCTGTCAGCTGACTTATCATCAGAAATCTACAGACCAGAAGGGAATGGCATGAAATATTCAAAGAAATGAAAAGCCAGGATCTGAAACCAAGATTATTATATCCAGCAAGGCTCTCCTTTGAAATAGATAGTGAAACTGTTGTAATGTACCCCACGAATCACACAAGGACGCCTCAAGAAGTTGAATTAAAGAGTCACATTTATTGCAAATCCAGGACTATGAGGGGGCATTTCGCTCTCCCAGATCTCATAGTGATAAGATGACCGCAACACCAGATTTATATAGGCAAAAATCACAAAGGTATTGTTTGAATCCCAGGGTTTGGAATAAGGAACCTGGTTCACAAAAAAGCAGTTTACAGAAGCAGAAGCAGCATGTTATCTAAATTATAGTTTTGGGTCTCCGGATCACTGAATTGACAGAAACACATTATCTAGAGCCCTCGGGTCTGGAATGAGGAACCTGGTCAGACTTAAGCATGTTATCTAAATTACAGTTTTGGGTCTCCGGAACACTGAGTCAACAGGGACACGTTAACTGGAGCCCTCTGACCTTGGGATAACTGTGCTGTCCTTCCCAGGTAAAGGAAAATGTGCTTTCTAAGACCAGTATGACCACAACCAATAGGATAGTCACATTACAATCAATAGGGTATTTAATCAAATGGGGTGATTTATATAATTCAGAAAATTAAAATAACTTTTCTATCATTTTAGCAAGCAAACAAGTACAGAAACCAAACAGCAGGGTTAAAGTTAAACTATAGTTTCTACCTGAGATGATTGCTACCATACTTCAAAACAAAGAGCTTCCCAGACCCAAAAAAAAAAAAAAAGGCTAAAGGAGTTTGTTACCACCATACCAGCACTGCAAGAAATGCTAAAAGACTGCTGTAATGAGAAGAAATAGAAAGAGAAACAAATGAGACTACATAAAAATAAAAAGCTGCACAGCAAAAGAAACCATTAACAAAATGAAAATGGAGCCCACTGTATGAGAGAACATATTTGGCAATGATACATCTGATAAAGGGTTAATATCCAAAATATATAAAGAACTCATACAACTTAACAAAAGGAAGACAAATACTCCAACTAAAAAATAGGCAAAGGACCTAAATAGATACTTCTCTAAAGGGGACATACAGAAGGCCAAGAGACATATGAAAAAAATGCTCAAAGTCACTAATCATCTGAGTGATGCAAATTAAAACAACAATGAGGTATCGCATCACACCGATCAGAATGGCTACTATCAACAAGTCAACAAAAGACAAGTGCTGGTAAGGATGTGGAGAAAAGGGAACCCTAGTACACTGCTGGTGGGAATGCAGACCGGTGCAGCCACTGTGGAAAACAGTATGGAGTTTCCTCAAAATAGATACTTCTCTAAAGGGGACATACAGAAGGCCAAGAGACATATGAAAAAAATGCTCAAAGTCACTAATCATCTGAGTGATGCAAATTAAAACAACAATGAGGTATCGCATCACACCGATCAGAATGGCTACTATCAACAAGTCAACAAAAGACAAGTGCTGGTAAGGATGTGGAGAAAAGGGAACCCTAGTGCACTGCTGGTGGGAATGCAGACCGGTGCAGCCATTATGAAAAACAGTATGGAGTTTCCTCAAAAAATTAAATATGGAACTCCCATTTGATCCAGTGATCCCACGTCTAGGAATATATCCTAAGAGACCTGAAACACCAATCAGAAAGAATGTATTCAACCCTGTGTTCATTAGCACAATTTACAATAGCTAAGATTTGGAAACAGCCCAAGTACTCATCAGTAGATGAGTGGATAAAAGAGCTGTGGTACATTTATACCATGGAATACTATGCAGCAGTAAAAAAGAAGGATCTCTTACCCTTTGAGAAAGCATGGAGGGACCTGAAGAGTAATATGCTAAGCAAAATAAGCCAGTCAGAGAAAGGCAAGTATCACATGATCTCACTCATATGTGGAATCTAATGAACAAAATAAACTGTTGAACAAAATAGATCCAGAGACATAGAGCATGGAACAGACTGTGAAATCTCTGAGGGAAGGCCTGGGAGGATGGGTGGGTGGGAAGTGACCAACCAAAGAACTTGTGTGCATATATACATAACACATGGACACAGACAATAGGGTGGTGAAGGTTTACAGAAGACCAAGATTGGTCTTTCCTTCTTGCCTTTGTATAAGGCCAAAAGAGACACATTGGCTACTTTGACAACCTTAAAGCAAACTCCAGGAATGTCACCAACAGCATGACCTTTGCGACCAAATCCAGCAACCAGAACTTCATCGTTTTCCTCAATAAAATTCAAACAACCATCATTGGGTACAAAGGCTGTGATTTTTCTGCCGTTCTTGATCAGCTGGACCCTGACACACTTCCTGACAGCAGAATTGGGCTGTTTGGCTTCAACCCCCACTTTTTCCAGCACAATCCCCTTCGCATGGGATGCGCCTCCGAAAGGGTTGGCCTTCAGCGCCGTGCCCAGGTGGGCCTTCTTGTACTGCTTGTCATGGACACAGACAATAGGGTGGTGAAGGTTTGGGGCAGAGGGCACTGGCAGGTTATAAGGGATCAATGGGAGAAAAAAAGGGGACATATGTAATACTTTCAACAATATAGATTTTAAAAAGTAAAAAAACAAGAGATTGATTTCCATTAAATGCCTGATTTACAGAAGACCAAGGTTATCTGCTGACTAATGTACATCTGCCAAGATTCCCTCCCATCATCGAGCCAATGAACTCTCCGCTTATACTCTAGCTGGACTTCTCCCTCTTTACATTCTTTGCTCACAAAAACAGCTGAGCCAACCCTCAACGGGCTTGCCTGTAGCTTGCTACTGCATGCATTTCTCGATTTGTAATTCCTCTGCTATCACCAAATAAACTCAGTTTCTGGTCATTTGAGCTTGCCTCCATTTACCTCTTTATTTGGGTTGAGAATTATGTACTAGTATATGTCACTGCCCAAAACTGCATCATTTGGGCTTGACCTGATAAAGTATATAAGCTACAAATGACTTACTACAGATGCCCTGCTTCTCCCAGGTCAATTTAATTGGTTTAATAGAGAACAATCCCTGGAGCCAAAAGACACTTAAATATCAATGACAAGCTGGTAGTGATATTTCAAGCTCTTCTGCCACATTCAAAACAGACACCACCCCCACCCACTTTCTCACAGGGTTCAAAACAGTACTGCCTACTTGTGAAAGCTTTGGAGTTCCATCTGTATACACCTGAGGCGGTGGGACAACTAGATGACAGACCTCACCACTTGTCAGTCCCTCTTTCTGGAGACAGTGTAGTATGATGGAAAGAACATTGGGCTTTGGAGTGAGACAAACCTGGAATTCAATCCATTTGACAATATTTAGTCGGGCTAGTTGCTTCATATCTCTCTGAGCTTGAGGGGAAAATAAAACCAGCCTTTACGGTAATAATGAAGATAAGATAACATATATAGAGCTGCAGGCAGAAGGAATCCTCCTGGTGGGGGAAGTAGAGCACATTCCAATGTTTGAAGTGAAAGGAAGTATTTATGAAATCTTTGAAAACTTTTTCTTGGGCAAGTCCTGAACATCACTGTGAAGAATGGGAATTGTTTTGTTCGGGCATTCTTTTATCATGTTTATTGAGCTTCTTATCTAGGCCAGCAAGGAGAGAGACTCCTATGTAATTAACTTTAGCTATAAGGTACAGTGCTATTGCTCTGATGAAAGAATTAAGGGAGGATTGGAGATAACAGTTAGCAAGGTCCCCAAAACAAGAGGGGTAATTTCAGGTTGAGTCATATGGTAACTCAGGATTTAGTAGGACATTGCAGGAGAGTTTCAGGTACATACGAATGGTTCGTACCAATCTCTCTAGAAATATGTAGTGGGGAGCAATTGCACCTCCTCTGCAGACCTGCTGTGGTCTCACCATCATCATCATGGCCAGGACTCAGAAGGAAAATGGTCTGGGAAGTGGGTGCATTCAGGCTACACGGATTTCCAGGCTTCCTTCCAGAAGGAAGCTGGACCGTCACATCATCAATCAGATGCCACCGACTCAAGAGGGCAATATAGCTAGAAAAGAGAGCCTGCCAGGGAGTAGAGGAAGTTTCCTGTTAATATCCTTCCAGATGGGGTGAGGGAATCAGATTCATTGTATATTAGATAATACAAATAACCAGTCTAAAACTTTCAAATATAAATTAGAGTAGATTGATGTCATGGTTTCTTCTGTTTGATTCTATACATTCCTGATTGTGGTGGTGATGGTGATGATGATCATCATCATCATAGAAGCTACTATATTCTGGTATTTCTTATGTGTCACACAATTATTTAAATGCTTAGCATTTAATTTTTACACCAACTTACAAAATAGTATTATTGTCCCCACTTTACAAATGAGCAAACTGAGAAACTGGGAGGTTAAGTAACTGGCTGAAGGCAAACAGAGAGTAAGGGTGGACCTGAGGTTCAGACCCAGATATGCCTACAACTCCAGAACCCGCATTCTTTCCTACTGCCTACATGCTTACTGCATCTCTAAATAGCTCTGTGAACATTCCAAAAACATAATCTTATTAAAGTGTTATTTATTTAATAATCTCTATTATCACAAAAATATTACCAAAATTTACTATAACAATGATAATTTTCTATATCTAAAGGTTTACATCCCAAAGAGACCTTTTAGTTAAACTTAATTAAGCCCCTCAATTCTACAGATAAGGAACTGAGGTATTTCAAGTTCAATGAGCTTCAAATAAAACACCATGCCCTAACTGGTTTGGCTCAGTGGATAGAGTGTCGGCCTGCGGACTGAAGGGTCCCAGGTTTGATTCCGGTCAAGGGCATGTACCTTGGTTGCAGGCACATCCCAGCAGGGGGTGTGCAGGAGGCAGCTGATCAATGTTTCTTTCTCATCAATGTTTCTAACTTTCTATCCCTCTCCCTTCCTCTCTGTAAAAAATCAATAAAATATATATTTTTAAAAAAAACACCAATGGTCCTCTTAAAAATATTAAACAAAGCTGGACCTCTTTTTAAATATTTTTTTTTATTGATTTCAGAGAGGAAGGGAGGGAGAGATAGAAACATGAATGATGAGAGAGAATCATTGATTGGCTGCCTCCTACACGCCCCCCACCGGGGATTGAGCCCACAACTGGGGCATGTGCCCTGATCGGGAATTGAACCATAACCTCCTGGTTCATAGGTTGACCCTCAACCACTGAGCCATGCCGGCTGCGCTCAGGCTGGGCTGTTTTTATTGATTTTGAGAGAGAGAGAAAGGGAGAAAATAGAGAGATAGAAACATTGATGAGAGAGGAACATCATCAATCAGATGCCTCCTTTACACCCCTTACTGGGGATCGAGCCCACAACCTCAGCATGTGCCCTGACCAGGATCGATCCAGCAACCTCTTGGTTCCTGGGTCGACACTCAACTGTTGAGCCACACGAGCCGGGCCTTCTTGCTCTTAATTCAGATATTCCCTTCCCCTTCCTCAAAGGTTAATGTGTGGATTGCCCAAGTTTCATGGAACCACCCTAGGGTTCAGTGCCATATGTTTCCATAGAGAAATATAACTGGGGTTGTGGAGGTTCTCCATGGCATGCACACATTGGTCATTGGTTTCATCTTCTAGATGTCAAAGTTACACCAAGAATTTGGTCATTTTCAGGCATGGCTTTAAGTAGATTTTATTTATAGGACCCAAAGCCACCTCAGGTCCAGAGGAGAGAGCTTCAAGTTACTGAAGGCAATGCAAATGCTTATGGGCTGGGAGTTAGCTGTTCCTTTAGGTGTGTCATGGCAAGTTTCTAAGAACGGTTTTGCCATTAGTTCCAACCCCATAAGCAGCATCATCTGAGCCCCACCCCATTCAGCAGACCTATTACAGATAAGTCAGCTGGTCTTCATGGGATAGGAAAGCTTGCTGTGCCAGATGTGCTCACAGCCAAGGCGGGGTGTCTGCCACCTCTTGCTAGTAGTAGCTCATATTCACATGCAGCCCACAAATCTCAGCATGGGCTGCTGGGTGGTTAGATATGCAGGCACAATTACCTACTGACAATAGCAACACAAACAACCAGGGGGCAGTGAGTTGATGGGTGGGAGGGGAAGGGAGCAGTTACAAGAAGATGACACATAATTATACTCCTCCTCAGGATGGTTAAAGATTGAGAACTGAGGTAGGTAGGAACAAGTCGGAACAGAAATTTACCTTTTCCTTGGGATACCGCCAAAGAAGCTGATGAACATAAACAGTGCTAAGAGAAGCTTGAACCCAAAAACCTTGCTTGCATCTGGACGAGGGGTGAAGCCAAATGCCCATGGGATCCATATCTCCAGCCCACTGGGCAGCTTGCCAAAAATGTCTCACAGGACTTAGCAAAGCCCCCATCTCAGTGAGGGACACTCCAATCCACCCTTTCACTGGAGCAAGACCTAGAAGCCTTTTCAACCTCCTCCTTTATTTTCCACATACGATCAGTTACCAGGTCCTGTAGGTTCTATCTTCTAAATATCTTTCTGATCAGCCTTTCCCTCCAGTTGGTGCCACCAGCTGTCACAAAACCTATTCTCCACTTTACTGCCTGAATGACCTTCCTAGACTGCAAATCTGATCATGCCATGAGCCTATTCTAGTCCTTCCATTCTCCATTGTCTACCCAGAGGCTTCTTGAGACAATCTCAAATGCCTTCACTACCAGGTATTTAAATATGTAAAGTCACAGGGTTTACTATAGCAAAGTAGGAGGCAATATGGACCTGAAAAAGACCTGACCCGTTTAAAGGCATTCAAATCTTGAGAAAGAAGAGCAAAGTTAGAGGGATCACAATACTGGATATCAAACTATCAAAAATGCTCAATGTCACTAATCATCAGAGAGATGCAAATTACGGCTACCATCAGTAAATCGACAAACAAGTGCTGGCAAGGATGTGGCGAAAAGGAAATCCTAGTACACTGCTGGTGGGAATGCAGATTGATGCAGCCATTATGGGAAACAGTATGGAGTTTCCTCAAAAAATTTAAAATGGAACTGCCATTTGATCCAGTGATCCCACTTCTGGGACTATATCCTACAATCCCAAAACACGAATCAGAAAGAATATATGTACCTGTATGTTCATAGCAGTGTTATTTTTAAATAGCTAAGATTTGGAAATAGCTCAAGTGCCCATCAGTAGATGAATGGATAAAAAAGCTGTGGTGCTCGGCCAGCCTGGCTCAGTAGATGAGTGTCAACCTATGAACCAGGAGGTCACGGTTCAATCCCTGGTCAGGTTGACAGCATGGATGTGCCTGGAGATTATTACACTAAGCAAAATAAGCCAGTCAGAGAAAGACAAATATCACATGATCTCACTTATATGTGGAATCTAATAAATAAAATAAACTGACAAACAAAATAGGTCCAGAGGTATGGAAGCAGACTGACAGATCTCAGAGGGGAGGGGTTAGGGGGACAGAAAGAGATTAACCAAAAAAGTAATATGCATACTAGTGGCCCAGTGCGTGAAATTCATGCACATTAAAAGGGAATTAATTAGAGGAAATATTTTAATATTGCTATTTGCCCTTTCTCTATAATAGAAATGTCAGAGATGAAAGAAAATTAGTAAAAGGTATATGAAAATCTTCCTCCTGTCAGAGTCTGGGGTGCACCGCAGGACCCAGAGTCAAGTCCCCGCCCCCCCGCATGCACCTCGAAATCCTACGAGACCTATACCCGGCCTGCCCCACCCTTGTCAAGCCCCTCCGGGCGAGGGTGCAGCCTCAGGTCCCCCATCAAGCCCCGCCAGGCTGGGGGCGTGGCCTAAGGTGCCCCACCCCAGCCCTGTGCCATGCAGCCTTAGGTCCCTGCTGATCGCTCATTAAGGCTCATTACAGCAACCCCACCTCCACTGTGGGCGCAGCTATCTTGTGATGGGGGTTAATTTGCATGTTACCTCTTTATTATACAGGATATGCATAACCCATGGACACCGACAATAGTATAATGAAGGCCTGGTGTAAGGTGGGGGCTGGGTGGAGGGAGGTAAAGAAGGGGAAATGGGGGACATCTGTAATACTGTCAACAATTTAAAAAAAACACAAATAAATAAATAATAAAGGCATTCAAATCTAAAACTATTTTAAAACAACTGTGCCAGCCTAGTCAACTCTTTCTGAGGCCATTTGGCTATTCTTGGTTCACACAGTAGAGTCCAAACTCTCTCTCTCAGTCTGCAATGTAGAGGAAGCCTGCTTCTTTGCTTTCATCTTCAGCTATTCTCAGTAAGTAGCTTTCATTTTCCTGAAGATCCACAAAGCAGTGCCTTTGCACAAGATCTTCCCTTGGCCCCGGCCTTTCTTCTTTCTGTATCTTGCCTGGAAACTGTCTTTTCAAGACCTCTACTGGGAGCCTTCCCAGAGTCCAGGGGAGAGTTGTACCCTGGACATAATATCTGTTACTGTTCTTCTTTCTCGGTTTGTAGATATTTTTTATTCTTCCCTATTAGATAATACTTGGGGGGCTTGTCTTATAAGTTCACAAATTATATGTTACAAAACAAGCAGCAAAGGTAAAATTTCATAGAGACAGTTTTCCTCCCCAACATTTTTTAAAATATATTTTTTATTAATTTCAGAGAGGAAGGGAGAGGGAGAGGGATAGAAACATCAATGATGAGAGAGAACCATTGATCAGGTGCTTCCTGCACACGCCCTACTGGGGATGGAGCCCGAAACCTGAGCATGTGCCCTGACCAGGAATCGAACCATGACCTCCTGGTTCATAGGTTGACGCTCAACCACTGAGCTATGCTGGCTGGACTCCTCCATAACATTTTAAATGGGATTGAAAAAATATTGTTTGCATCACAGAGGGTGTCCTTTAAGAGCTAATGGAGATATAGGGAGGCCTTCAAATATATTACTACTCTATGTCCTTAGAGTCTCTGCCCACTAAACTTTTATTGAATCTGATAGTGCAATAATCTTATGCCAGAAAAGCTACTCTAGGCCTTGATCAATTTCACAAAATTGCTAATGGGGTAATATTAATCATTATCATGACTTTTCAGTATTCGAAAGGAAGAAAGTGGGGGGGTGGGGGAGAGAAACTGTTACATGCTCCAGTGCCTTTTAAAAAGCCACTCTAAGAAATAAAAGGGAACTCAACTCCACTCTCACAACTGGGTCACAGGCTTCATTGGCTGAGGTAGTTGAGTGCTCAGTCACATGAAATAGTTCTTTTTCTCAGAACTTGTCCAAAGGGACCTTTCCTGCCTGCAGAGATAGAAAGAAAAAGGAATCTTTCTTACACCTTTAAGCCTGGCCTGCCTCATTTTTTCCTCCCTTCCTGTCCATTGATTTAAGCCGTGGGGAGGTATAGGAATACAATGGGAAGTTGGAAGGGGAAGAGAAAGGATGAAGGGGAGGGCAGTAAAAGGGACCATCAAGGTATCTATGCCTGGAGTGGCTGAGGTTAAATTAAGTCAACCACAAAGTTACAGTGACCTACCACTTCCCGCTTTGCACACTAACAGGCCAAACTCTAGGTCTGACTTAAAGTTGAGTGAACTCATTCGGTATATACCAGTTCCTCCTAGAATATTAAATATATATTTTATCATTATTGTTGGAATTATAGGTGCTTGTACACTTATTAACCATTATGAAAGCAATTTACTTGATATTGACTGGGAAAAGCTCACAGAGACTCCATTCTAATCTAAAAACGAACATGCTCATAATAGAAAATTGGGAAAATGTAGATAAAAATTCTGCAAAAGAAGAAAAAAGAAATTTAAAAAAAAAAAAAACACCTGTTAAGGACCTTTGTGATTGTATTTACTTTTTACACTTAAAAAAATAACTTTGTAACAAGCTCTTGCCTTGTTTTTAGGAACTGCTTAAGCACTGTTTTTACACCTACAAAGTACTCTTTATGTGGATATATTGTAATTTATGTAACCATATCTCTACTATAGGCATTTAGTTTTTATATTATGGAATAATAATATGGACTTAAACCTTTAAAAGCGCTCTACACCAGCAAGAAATGAATGAGAACTCCAAAGAAGGTGTAGGCAGCAGTAGGAGACAAGTTTAGCAAGCATTTTAGTCATTGGTTTCCTTTAGCCAAGAAAAACAGGTACAATATCACAAAGAGATGGACAAAAGCAGGAAATACTCTGAAATTTCCTCAAGAATAATGTGTTTCTTTATTTGTTTTCTAATATTGTATTTCTTAAGCTTCTGTTGACTTGATGGTGAGACCAGTTCTAGGAAGGTTTTGGGGGAAGAGAGGAGTGTTAAATATATGTGAAGGAGCACAAATATATGTGAAGTGGTATAAAGAACCAAAGTTGGGCCCTGGCTGGTTTGGTTCTGTGGATAGAGCATTGGCCTGCAGACCAAAGGGTCCTGAGTTCGATTGTGGTTTTATTCTGGTTCAATTCCGGTCATCAAGCTTGGGCCCGAGGTGTTTCTTTCACATCAATGTTCCTCTCCGTTTTTCCCTCTCTCTTCCACGCTCCCTAAAAAAAATCAATAGAAAAATATCCTGGGGTGAGGATTAACCCAAAAGACAAAATGAACCAAAGTTGGGGAAAGATTAGAATTTTTTTGTGAGTTTTTTGGGGGGAGATTAGGGTTCTTAATGTGACACCTAGCACAGTTTCCCACCCACAGCAGCCTTTACTGGTGACTAGACTCTGTCTGATAAGCTTGCTACAAGTTCTTAAATCTCAGAACACTTTCTTTTTTTTAATATATTTTTATTGATTCCAGAGAGGAAGGAAGAAGGAGAGATACAAATATCAATGATGTGAGAATCATTGATCGGCTGCCTCCTGCACACCCCCTACTGGGGATCAAGCCCACAACCTGGGCATGTGCCCTTGACTAGAATCGAACCCAGGACCTTCAGTCTGCTGGCCGACACTCTATTCACTAAGCCAAACCAGCCAGGGTAGAAGAACACCTTCCTAAACAAAGAACTTTAACAACCAGTTGTTAACAGTAATCTCCTATCTACTAAGTGTCATTTCACCAACTCATTCATCTTTAGACTTCACCAGCAACAGAGTAGGTGGCCAGAGTTCTTTCACAAAATCTATGTGGCTAGAATCCTCACGGTGGGAATGGTATTTTTCGCTGTTGTTAATCCTCACCCGAGGATATTTTATTGATTTTTTTTACAGAGAGGAAGGGAGAGGGAGAGGGATAGAGAGTTAGAAACATCGATGAGAGAGAAACACCGATCAGCTGCCTCCTTCACACTCCGTACTGGGGATGTGCCCGCAACCAAGATACATGCCCTTGACTGGAATCGAACCC